GAGGCGCTGCAAGCATTGCTGCAGATGCTCAGCAGATGCCCCAAGCTGAAGATTCTGCACATAGACTCTTGCAAAGTGCACAAAGAGCACCTGCGGGAACTATCCACGGGCCCGAGCTGGAAGACTTTGAGCCATTCAATCCATCTGAGTCATTTAAAAAGGAGGTGGAGCGCCTGCAGAGGTCGAGGCCAGCTCTGCAGGATACGATCATTGACATCGCAGAGCCCGCCAACCCGATGACAGAAAACTCCGAAGCAAAAAAACCAAGAAGGCCAGAAGGAAGGTAAAGCCAAGCCCACCTTTCAGACTGATGATCATGTTGCCTTGGAGGTGACAGAGGATCCAGCTGCCCGCGGTTCCGCGGATGCACGCGAAGGCGAGCAGCCCACAGAAGCGGAGGAGCCACCGCAATCCCAGGAGAGCACGCAGAGGAAGCCGAAAAGGAAGAAGCATCGCCTCGTCAAGAAGACGCGGACGAGTGCGAGAAGGGAGCCGGCGCCAACGTGATGCCAGAGCGGCACTGAATCATGCGAGATCCAAAGACAAAGTTTTGCAGTCCTGAATGTGTAGAACAGTTCTCAGCTCCAAGGCTTGAGCCAGCAAATCTCCATCGACTCGTGGAAATTCTTCTGTGACGGCTTGCATCGCAGAGCCGTGCTTCTGCTGCGCCTCAGCAAGCCAGCTCATGTTTGCACTTGTTTGCAACATGACAGCAGACTCCAAAAACGCTGTTTTCTCTGACCATTGTTGGATGTTGTTGTGATAGGGTATTGCGTATTACGTGCCTCCGTGATTCAAGTGGCTCACTGGCAAACTTCAACAAAGAACATGTCGATTTCAGATCTTGTGATGGCCCTCCCGGCCGTGGTCATCCCTGCGTGTGCGCCTCAGGCACCGCTTGTGTGATGCCTCCAAGTACACGGCGAGCTGGTCATTGATACGTTGGAACAGAAGCTTGAACTCCTGAGCCTCACAGGTCAATACACTTATTCTTTGGGGCGGTGTGAGGTGTATGAGGTGTATTCATAGGAAATGGATGAGAGCACGGCTTTGAACTTCAGGTCTCCTGCTGGTGGAAGTGCATGCTGCTGCTGAAGGCCTGTGTTTATGCCTCTTCGGTCGGTTCCATTACTTTCAGGTCCGCGTGGCGAGGACCCTCTCATTTTGGAGGGTTGTTCAAAGATCTTCCTTGTGAGATCCCCAATTGCAAGCTGTTGGAACCACCCCCCAGCACCCCAGTGGACGCGTGTACAAGAAAGTCGAAAAAATGAAGGGAGTTCTTGGACTTGAGGAATGCCTTTTCCGCGGGGCCTGCGGAAAAAGGGAGTTCCAAGCTTCAGTCAGAAATCTCAAGGCTCTTGAATTATGGGAAGTTGCACCTACGAAGCGATTCAGACATGCAGTGAAAACTAGGCATGAAGTCTGGAGGCCATATCACATGCGGCGTAGGAAAAACAGTGCTAGTAGTAGAACCAGTAACAACAGTCATAAATGTGGTGATGGCAGTAGTCATAATCACAACCCACAAGGCAGGACAGCCTTGCACTGCGTCGGCGTCATGATGACCGAGGCAGGGTCACAGCTCCGCTTTTTTCATTGGGGGTGCTAAGATGGGATGAGACATTTCTTCTTTTTGATGGCGTGACGGTAGGGATCATTAAGCTAGGAAGGAGGGGAGTGCAACGAAAATTGTGTTGGGGAATGCGCTTGCTTTCCAGCCAAGGTTGGCGTAAAGCTCGACAGGGGTTTGGGCGGTTTAGGATTGGGTCGCTTTTAACCCTCGAAGGCTGCTTCCATGCCTCTACAAGGGACCTCAGTTCAGGAATTTACCTGGCCTGGGCTGAAGCTCGTGGGAGCCGGCGGCAAGGTGGCCAAGGGCACCTTCGTGACCGTCGCAGAAGTCGACGAGAAAACCGTTCGCTTGGACGGGGGGCAGGCCTTCTCGCACGCAGAACTCCTGCGGCAGACGAGGCTGTGCCACGCCATCACCTATGCCTCCTGCCAGGGGCTGACTCTGAGGGGCCCGTTTGGGTTCTGGACTGCGGAACGCAGCATTTCAACCTGCGGCACCTCTATGTCGGGGCCAGCAGGGCCACGAGCTCGGAGCTGCTCAGCGTGCTGTAGGATGATTTGGGCAACCTGGAGGCTGGCTCCAGGACGATTTGGGCAACCTGGAGGCTGGCTCCAGGATGTTTGGCTCATTTACGAAGATCTGCGTAAATGACTATGGGGCCGCCGCCAGCTGCACCGCCGTCCCGCCAGCAGCCATTTGACAGCTGTCAAATCTGTCAAATTTGTCAAAGAACGCATTTCTGAAGGGCTAGAGGGCTTGTTGCGGCGTTTTGGCGTTTGACGGCGACGCCGAAGGCCCGTCAAATGGAGTGCCACAGGCACATTTGACGCATTTGACGCGCAAGCTCGGGCATGTCAAATGCTGAAGCGCTTCCACAGGCCCTCTAGCCCTTCAGAAATGCGTTCTTTGACAAATTTGACAGATTTGACAGCTGTCAAACAGGTCCGACTGGAGCCGACGCTTCGCCAACCGCGGGGCCCGATGCTGGCAAAAAAAGGCCACGAGGCTTGCCAGAATACCGTCGAAAAAAGGGCAGCATTCCGTTTTCCAGGGCCCCCTCTGGCGGGGGTCCGTGGGGGGGTGAGGTTTCGGAGCCGCCCCATTTCTTGGACGGCTTCCAGGGCCTCGCCTGCGCGAAGCGTCATCGGGGGGCCGGGCGTTACTGATAACCGCCCGTGGGTAGCCCTGTGTCAGTAGGGCACCCCCCTCAGCTTCGCTGGACCGCCCGCCTCGGCACCGGACCTCGCCGTAGGTCATCGGCCCGGGCTTCGGCAGGCGTGCCCTCGACGACGACTGGCGATGACGACCGCGACGACGACGACGGCGACGATGACGACAGCAGCTTGATTTTGCATGTTGAGTTTTTGCGCTTGATTTTGGCAGGTTTCTTGGCACAATTTGCTTGCTTTTACTTGAGTTGCTTGATTTTTGATTTTCAGTAAGACGTCCACATCTCTGGGCATGGGCTTGCTTGATGTTGTTTTTGAGTGCGGGACAGCTGCTAGGCAAAGAGCTTGCTTCATTCTGATTCTCAGTGAGATACCACATGTTGCGGCATGAGCTTGCTTGATCTTGAGTTACAGTGAGATACCACATGTTGCGGCATGAGCTTGCTTGATCTTGATTTACAGTGAATTTCCACACCCAAACAGGCAGCACGGGCCCTGATAGCCCCCCTTCTACAGTCCCTGCCCACCCGCTGCCTCAGGTCACTTCGCGGCCATCGTCTCCTTCGACAGCCCGAGCCTTGTGTTAGCGAGCTTTGCAGAGTAGCGTTGTCGGCAGTCTTGCGCAGGTAGTTCTCTCTGTTTTGCGTGAAGCCTTGGCCCCAAGACCCTCGCCTTTCCGTAGCCCCTAAACCACAAACAGGTCTCGTGCGGTTCGCTTGCTTCGCGTCGGCCAGGGCCTTTGAGTGCGCTTGCTGCAGTGGCCTTGCTCACTACCCCATCTCCACGGAACTGATCTTCAACGCCTTCCTGCCCCCCACCTCGCCCACCCCACTCCACGGAGCTGACTTCCTGCCCCCCACCTCGCCCGCCCCACTCCACGGAGCTGATCTTCAACGCCTTCCTGCCCCCCGCCTCGCCCATGTGCTTCTCTCAGGTTCGTCGTTGCAGGTGCCGCTTGAGGGTTGGGGTGGTGCTGCGTAGTCTCTCTGCAAGTCCACCCCAGTAGCCCCTCCTCTTAGCCCTGAAAACCCCCTCCTGCGGCTTCAGGTCCGCAGATCTTCACCATCCTTTCCGTGCAGCCGCGGCCTCTGAGTGTGCCCACCACTGCTACGCCGTCAAGTTGTTAGGAGCTGTGCCAGGTTGCTGCTGCGTAGGTCATCTATGCAAGCCCTCGCCCCAATAGTCCCCCATGGTAGCCCTGCGCCCCCGCTGCCGCTTCCTCAGGTCCACTATTGTGCCTGCTGCGATGACAAGTCTCAGAGCTGCGCCAGGCGTAATTCCAGGGATTCCCTCCGCGTAGGTATATCCCTTCAATCACGCGCCGCTGCTTCAGGTCCATGGTCCATCACAGTGATCGCCCTCATCGTACTCGAAGGTCTGCAGAACTTCGAGCAGATTTGCCGTCAAATCCGTCAAATTTGTCAAATTGACTTTTCTGCTGTAAGAGCGAGGGGCAGCTTGAGAGATTTGACGGGTTTGACGGGTTTGACGGATTTGACGTCAGGTCCAGGGATCTTCGCCATCCTCTTCGTCCCGCCGCAGCCTCCTTTGATTGTACGTGCTGGAGTGACAAGTCGCTGGGAGCTGCGTTTGGGGTATCTTCAGGGGTTCCCTCGTAGTCTGCGCAAGCCCCAGCAGGTCACTAGTCCCTTGCAGACCTCAGATGCCCCCCCCTGCCGCTGCCTCAGGTCCATGGTCCATCACAGTGATCGCCCTTGTGATCGCCCCTCTGTTTGCAGAGCTTGAAGCAAATTTGACGTCAAATCCGTCAAACTTGCCTTTTCTTCTGCCGGAGGGGGGCAACTTCAGTGACGGGTTTGCCGGGCTGCAGAATCTGCGCTCCTCGAGGCACCTCTGCACTCACCTAGTGGTTGCAGAATGGCAGGCTGCTACAAGCGGGTTAAGCGGGCCCACTTTGTGGGAATCTGCGCGCTATTGGTGACGACTAACAGTTGGCCGCCGAGAGCCAAGCAAGGGCTTTCAGAGCTTGCTTGTCTTCTGCTGGTTCTGTCTTTAGCTCATGACATACTGCCAGAGGGTGAGGGGAGAGAGCGTCAGACGTCGTAGTGTCATATCAACGCCGCGCCCACAATGTGTTTGCTCGCGGCTTGGGCCCAGTGTGCTATCTTCTGAAGGCCTCACGCTGATGCCAGTCACAGTATTTGCAGTTGCTATGTTAAGATCTCTGCACTGCTGCAGTGATTCAGCGTTGTAGCAAAAACTGCCATGGCACATGGTTGGGAGCAATGGACGGAAAGGCAGCAGCGCTACGTTGCACCAAATCGAGCGGTTGATGAAGCATATTGCATACTGAATGAGGCTGGCCATCCCGCAAGTTTTTCAGCGGGTCGCATCAGCCAGCAGAGCGGTAGTCAGTATGAAAAGCTGGTTACTAGCGTCGTCAAAGGCTTTAGCCGCAAACTCAGGGCTGTGCGCAGCCAAACGCAAGAGGAGGGAGAAGCACTAAAGGATCTCAGAAATAGAGTTGCAGATTTCCTGCGAGACCGTGTGTCAGACAACGCTGGGCAAAGAGTAACAGCAAGAGGTGTCGGTGAAGAGGAAGCTGACATTGACGTGGTGTTCCATGGCAGCTTTGAAGCCTTGCTGAGCCAGCTGAACCTGGTGACTGAAGCTAAAGTTATTGCGACCTGCGAAGACGTCACCTGTGTTCTGGTGGAAGCTTGTTCGGACAGTCGTCTTGTCGCGATGAAGCTTTTGCAGATCGAGATCCAATGCCGCATTGTTGCGCGTCAAGGGTTCTTGGTCAGAGATGACCCGCGTGGCTTGGAAGCCCAGGCGCTTTTACCCCGTTCGACTGGCTATGCGATTGTGTTCAATCGCGCGGCTCTGCAGATAAACATACAGAGCGTGCTGGACACACTGGGTCTTACCTACGTGCAGGAGTTGCAGCAGCAGGGCAAGTTGCACATTGCTTTTTTACAAGCAGACCGTGCGTTGCCCGCAGCATTGGAGATTGCAAGCGAGGCAAGAGCAGAGGCACGCGAGGCAAGAGCGAAGGTGGACAGATTGGAGAAAGACCTTGCAGGCATCCGCAGGGTTAACCTTCGCGTGACTTATGCACTGCTGTGGTTTCTACCTTGGCATGTCATTCTGCGGGGCTTTGCAGGCACTACCTCGGCGCCATCCACTGTCTGGGTGCGGGAGCTAGACAGCAAGGAAAGTGCTGCGTGTGAGAGCAAATGTCAGCAACCTACCAAGCCACTAAGCGGGCCCACTTTGTCCTTAACATGGGGCACGGAATCTGCTCGCTGTTGGGAGTAGCTGCTCCAGCGGCGACGACGGCCTCGGCGACGACGACGCGACGATTCTTGGCTTCGCGCTCGCTTTGCGGGAGGGGCTGCTTTGCGAAAGTTGCGGTGACTCGTAGCTCTTCCTTTTGCATTGCCTAGCAGAGGGCACCAGTCTTGGGTAGGGTGCGGGAGCTGATCCGCGAGGACAGTGAGAACAAATGTCAGTAGTGGGAGCGCAAGTGGGCGGAGCATGCTGTGGATGCCTGTAGCAGCGTGATCTCGCCGTGGGGCCGCAAGCGGGCCGTCCGGTCGAAGGTGGGAGGTGGTCGGGGCGGGGCTAGGCTTGCTGAGAGAGTTTCTGCGAGTTTGCTGTCAGTTCATGTCTGCCGCAGTTTTGACCCACTCGACTCGCAGGAGGATGGGATTGTCACAGCCAAGCTGAGGCCCAAGAAGGATTCCGATTGCCGGTCGTTTTGGAGCAGCGCCTTTGTGCAGACAGCGTTTTGTCAGGAGGGCTTTCAGGGAGAGGATGAGCCGGAGCGGGCGTTTCAGGTGGAGTCCCCTCAGGCCATCATCGCCGTGCCATGTGAAGTGGAGTTTGGTTGCTGGTTGCATTTCAGTAGGACTACCCGCACCTCAATAATGTGGACGACTTGGCGAAAGACCCGGCCTCGGCGTGCTTCCTTTGCTCATGCCCCGACGTGCTCAGAAAGTCACGAGGCAATCAAGAAGCAGAATTCCGTCAGTCTCCAGGATATCGATGCAAGGAATATCGACATCTACTTACAAGAAGCACGGAGCCCCAGACTGCTTTTTCTGTTGGCTCCTTCCCTTCCGATTTTGGCAGGCTGGAAAGTGGCAACTCGTCAAAGGCGCATCGACCTCCCTGCGTGAGAACACCAGCGAGCCCAACCCTCGGCTCCGTGATCGGCCATTCAACTTCCACATGACGGCGTGACTGCTAGGCAAGATTGCTACGGCTTTTTGCCGCGACGGGCAACTTGAAAGGCTGGGCGATGTGATTTGTGAAGGAATCGGAGCATCAATGCTGCGCAGGTGCCATCTAACTCTGCACATCCTTTTGCACGGTCTCTCAGTTTCACATGTCAAGGTTTGCGATGTGCATAATGCAGATCTTCGGTGTGGTCATTTTTGCTGCAAGCGGTGTGCTTAGATCAGCAGCAGTAGCGAGCTAGGTCACTGCTGTAGTGAACTAGATGATAGAGCTTTCAAGATGTCGCTACTTCCAGCCACACCAGGTCTAGGCCATGCCTGCTAGCGAAAGAGCAGCGTGTGCAGTGTCAGCGATCAGGGAGCCTGTGCCACATAGCGGCCCTCGGCGCTGATCAGTGTCTCACTGTGCGCCGCAGCGGCCGGAGGCAAACACGCGTTTTCTACTGTAGGTTCAGCCTGCGTGCTGCAGAAGTCGCTACCGAAAGAGTGCAGCGTCAGCGATCAAGGGCCCGATGGATGCCGCACAGTTCGGGCCCTTAGCGCTGATTAGTGTCTCACTGCGCACCGCGCGCAACTGCATGTTTCTATGTTGAGCCTGCTTGTCCAGCGCGGCCGCGGAGGCGTCAGAAAAGTCAACATGTCTCAGAACACCGGCGCAACAGAAAGACGCAGTCGCTTGTAGCCCCTCCGATCTTTAAATTCCCACTCCATGCTTGCTTCAGGTCCTCATCATTGTCTTCGCCCTCAACGGGCCTGGATCCTACAGTAAAGCCGACCCCATTTTCTGGTATCAAGGGAGTGCGCAAGAGTTTGGCTGCTGTTGTGTGTTTACGCGTGTTTTTTTTGGTTTGACGCCCGCCGCCCCACCAGCGCCCTGCCAGCCCATATCCGCCGCTCAGCCAGCCGGAGCACCGCGTCCGCCGGACCGCCAGCCGCCCCACATCCGCCGATCCACCGACCAACATCCGCCGGCCCACCAGCCATTTGACGGCCGTCAAATCCGTCAAATCTGGCAAATGCCCCGCCGCCCGCCGCAACATCCGCCGGCCGCTTGCCACCCCGCCGCAATATCCGCTGGCCCACCAGCCATTTGACGGCCGTCAAATCCGTCAAATCTGTCAAATGCCCCGCCGCTCACCGCAACATCCGCCGGACCGCCAGCCGCCTGCCGCCCCGCCGACCCACATCCGCCGGCCCACCATTTGACAGCCGTCAAATCTGTCAAATGCCGCGCCGCCCGCCGCAACATCCGCCGGCCCATCAGCCATTTGACGGCTGTCAAATCCGTCAAATCTGTCAAATGCCGCACGGCTTCGCCGCCCGCCGCAACATCCGCCGGCCCACCAGCCACCTGGCGCCCCGCCGACCCGCATCCGCCGGCCCACCATTTGACGGCCGTCAAATCCGTCAAATCTGTCAAAGAATGCGTTTCTGAAGGGCTGGAGGGGCTCTAACCGCATTTTGGCCTTTGACGGGGACCCCGTAGGGGCGTCAAATGCGTCAAAACGCGCTGCGAGAGTGCCGCTTGACGCATTTGACGCGCAAGCTAGGGCCTGTCAAATGCTAAAACGCGCCGACAGCCTCTCTGGCCCTTCAGAAATGCATTCTTTGACAAATTTGACAGATTTGACAGCCGTCAAACCGGGTCCGGCACGAGCAAAGCTTCTCAAACCAACATACAGCCTCTCTCTATTACAGGGGTCCCGCGGCCCGCCTGAAGGCTGTGCAGAGCCAGCAGGAATGAAAGCGCGCAGCATCCCATTTTCATTCGGGGTCAACCGCGGCCTGCAGAAACGCAGCTCCGGAGCCGCAGGACCGCAGATTTGCATCATGAAAAATCGCAATTCTGTGCGGTTTTGGGATAGCAAGTGTTCAACGCAAACGCCGCTGGCATTGAGACCGGTTCTGGAAATGCGAGAAGAAGCCTTGAAGATGGAGTTTAGAGTTGTATCAAGAACGCACCCTCTGAGGTCGCGTTTCTGCCTGAAACTTTTCGCGAGTACCCAAAACCGCACAGAATTGCGATTTTTCATGATGCAAATCTGCGGTCCTGCGGCTCCGGAGCTGCGTTTCTGCGGGCCGCGGTTGACCCCGAATGAAAATGGGATGCTGCGCGCTTTCATTCCTGCTGGCTCTGCACAGCCTTCAGGCGGGCCGCGCGACCCCTGTAATAGAGAGAGGAAGCTCGCTTCGAGAATTCTTCAAAGAAAATGCCCTTCGAAGCCTTTGTTCAGAAGCCTCCCTTCTTAAACCCCCCTTGAAGCCCCTTCTGAAGC